TGCTGTGATCAAAAGTGACTTGGGGAGGGAAGGGTTTGTTTGACTTACTCTTCCACACCACTGTTAATCATTTAAGGAAGTTGGGACAACTCAAACAGGGTGGGAACCTGGAGATAGGAACTGAGGCCATGGAGGAATACTACTGGCTCCTCTTGCTTTGGTACAGAAACCGGAGCCCAGGGGTGGCATCACCCACAATGGACTAGTCCCTCCCCCATCACTCACTAGGAAAATGTCCTGCAAGCTTGCCTACAGCCCAATTTTAGGAATTTTTCTCAATTGAGGCTCCCTCTTTTTTGATTCTAACTTGTGTCAAGTTGACATTAGACTAGCACAGTGCTTATAGCAGAAACAGGAGGACCCTCTTTGTTGCCCCCACCAGCTATGTAAACACCAGGTAGGTATGGCAACTCACCATAATCTCAGTTCTCAGGAGGTGAAGATGGTAGAATCCCAGGAGCTTGCTGTCTAGACTAGCCAAATCTTTAAGCAGCAGCATGTGAGGTAACCACAGTTGAACAGGATGTTCAATGTCAACTTGTGAATTTCAAACACACATATAAACATAGATAAAATTAAACAAATTTAAAACTTTTTGCTGGGCGGTGGTGGCTCACGCCTTAAGTCCCAGCACTTGGGAGGCAGAGGCAGGAGGATCTCTGTGAGTTTGAGACCAGCCTGGTCTACAAGAGCTAGTTCCAGGACAGCGTCCAAAGCCACAGAGAAACCATGTTTCGAAAAACTAAAAAAAATAAAATTATTAGGTGACTGTGTATATTAATTTTGTCTTAAATTTTCTCCTCAGTATAACCTGTCAGGAATAAGAATCCCACTTTGTTTTGCCCTTTACTGTTTCTTTTCTTTACACACTGCCATACAATATCTGTGTCCCTCTCAGTGACATGTTGAGTCTCTAATTCATGGCTTCCGCCAAATAATCACACTTGTAAATAGAATCTCTTTCTCTGTGAGTTTGGAGGAAACCTAGCATCTATATTAGTTACTTTCTGTTGCTCTAATAAACACCACTACCAAAAGCAACTTTAGAAGGGGTTTATTTTAGCTTATGGTTCTAGAGGCAGAGAGTTCCGGACTGGGAAGGAATGGCATTTGTTGGAGCAGGTTGCATTTCATCCACACAGGAAGCAGAGAGGGGAAGCAGGAGGTGGAGAATAACTAGCGGCTTCAAAGCTCACCCCGCTTCCATGATATACTTCCTCCAGGTTACACTTCCTGTAGGTTTGTTTCATACCTCCTCAAGCAGCACCACCACTGGGGGACCAAGTATCCAACTACACAAGTGAACTTGTGTGGGCCCTGTTTAATTCAGGGCGCCATCCCATCCAACAGCATGCTAGTTGTGCTCTGCTTCTCATTTAGCTGACTTTGGGCAAGTAGTTCAGCATGTTAAATACCAATTTTCAACATTTTGACATCTACCATATGACTTAACTGTACTATGCCTGGCTATTTTCCGAAGCATTCAAAGTCAGTATTCCACAGGGATACTTGACTCTGTTTACTGTAGCACAATTCAAATACCCAAGTCAGAGAGCCTAGTGGGTGGCTGTCAACAGAGAAATGGGTAAAGAAAATTTGGTTTACATACCCAGTAAATTTTGTTGGCAGCCATAAAGAACAGTTAAACTGTTTTCATGAAAATGGACACAACTCGATACCATATTTAAATTAATTTTGTCAGTTTTAGAAATACCAATAGCACAGATTTTCTCTCACTTGTGGTTTCTAAATTGGATGAAGACATGAAAGTATAGGTGAAACTGTCTAGGGAAAAAAGGAAATTTACAGGAGGGAAGAGGTGTCCCATAGGGGAGGAGATGAGGGAATATGCCCAAAGATCATTGTATGCCTGTATGGAAATGTTTTATGTAACCCAGCACCATGTGCAGTGAATATGCCAATGGCGGAAAGTGAAAATTAAAACTAATTTTCCCATAAGAAGGGAAGTAATGGCTTAGGGCAGGAGTGGGTCAGAGTTGTTAAAGAGGTTGTGGACTTTTAAAAAATGTGACAAATAGTTGCATAGTTTTATATCACAGGGGAAAGTATATTAAATTGGATAATGATGTGTAATTTATATTCTGAGTTTTATTGATAGCGATGATTTGCTGAGTTTTTTTTTTTTTCTCTCTAAACAGTTTTAATTTACCTGTGTGTTGTGAGAAATAGTGTACCAAGAGTTGTGTGATGTTGGGTTACATCAAAATGGCATTGGAGTCATGGGGAACCATTTTGAGTTGTCTAACACTAAGTAGCCTTGTGTCATAGGGCAGATGATTTAACCTTTGCATTTTCACTTCCTCACCTGTAAAATCGAGTAGACAATAATTCCTTTGACCTTAGTGTTGTAAGTATTGCATTCCATTCATTAATGTTAAATGAACATTCCTATCTTTTATTTTGGAAAGATATCACTATTTGTTCACTCATTTTGAAAAATAGTCTTGTTGTGTAGCCCCAGCTAGCCTGCAACTCAGTGTGATTGGTAGCAGACAGGATTTCCCTGCGTGCTGAGTGAGATTACATCTGTGCACCTCTGTGCTTGGCTGCATCCACATCCTCACTTAGGTTGTACGGGGAGGACTGGAGTGATGGCTCAGCAGTAATGAGCACTGGCTGGTTTTCAGAAGATAGGATTTGATTACCAGAATCCACATGGTGGTTCACAAGTCTTTAACTCCAGTCCCCAAGGACTCTGGTGCCCTCCTCTGGCCTCTGTGAGTTCTTTATGCACACAGTTTACAGACATACATGCAGGTGAAACACCCATACATGTAAAAATAAATTGCAAAGAAATTCTGTTTTTCTCAGATGAGTTTTCGTAGAAAGCAGGAGATCATCAACCTAGACAGTTTTCAAGAGTATTCTAGAAAATTGAAGCAAATGGTATCTCCTGATTGATCTTGTCCTTGATTTTTGTGCCTTTAAAGTAATATATTTCCACTAAGGTATGAGGGAGAGCCATGTCTGTCTTTTTAACTCATAAGCCTCTCTACTTTTTCTGATCAGGTCAAAGAGTTGTTTAGACTCATTTTCTAATTCTTTATAATGAGCTGGGTTGTCACATAATTTTAGGAATTGAAACTCATCCATTCCAGTCCTACATTATGGGTGAGACTGATGCTGAAAGAGGCATTTGTCGAGACTCATTTGAGTAGCCCAGTGGCTCTCAGCTTTTGCTGAACTTGGAAACACCTTGTGATGGGCTTAAAAACACTGTGCTTGGGAAATGGCACTATGTTTTCATTTCTCATTGATTATAATAAACCATTGTAATACATTTGCCTTAACCTTTAATGTTTCTTATTTTAACTGAAACATTTTATTTCTTAGAACTCTTAGGTTAAAAGGCTTTTAATTGCACTTTTTGTTTGTTTGCATGTTTGTCGTGGGGACTTGAGAGAACATTTTATGGGAGTCAAGTCTCCTTACACCATGGGTCCTGGGGATTAAACTCAGGCTTAGCTACAAGTTCCTTTACCTACTGAGCCATTTTGCTGATGCCAGAGGCTTTTTCTCTTCACCTTCCTCCCTCCCTGAAGACAGGGTTTCTCTGAAGCTTTGGAGGCTGTCCTTGAACTAGCTCTTGTAGACCAGGCTGGCTTCGAACTCACCGAGATCTGCCTGCCTCTGCCTCCCAAGTGTTGGGATTAAAGGCGTGCACCATCACGGCCTGGCTTTTCCTTTTCCTTTTTTTTTTTTTTTTTTTTTTTTTTTTTTTTTTTTTTTTTTAGGAAAGGGATTTGTTATGTTATTCTAGTTGGCCTGGAACTAGTTGGCCTGGAACTCACTATATGTAGAGAAGGCTTGAGCTCTGACTTAGTGTTTCTGTTTTTGTGTTGAATATGACCTTCACAAGCAGGTTGGGGAGAAAAGATTTTATAAATTTGGCTTACACTTTGACATTGTAGTCCGTCATCTAAGGAAGTCAGAACAGGAACTCAAGCAAGAAGGAACTTGGAGGCAGGAGCTGATGGAGGCCATGGAGGGATACTGCTTACATGCTGGTTTGCTCTCCCAGGGATGGCACCACCACTGGTCCCTCCCAGTCAGTCACTATGAAACTGCCTATGGAGACATTTTCTCAATTGAAGTTCCTTTTCAGATGATTCTGTCAAGTTGACATGAAACCAGCCAGGTCAAGCTCCTAGAGATCCACCTGTCTCCAAAGTGCTGTGCCACCATACTCTGCAAAAAGGCATTTCTGTTGTTTTGTTTTGAAAAAGGTTTCTCTGTGTAACAGCGCAGGGCTGTCTGGGAATTTCCTTTTTAGGTCAGGTTGGCCTTGAACTCACAGGGATCCACCTGCCTCGTCTTGGGAGTACTGGAATCAAGTTCCAGTACTTGATTCAGTTCCAGTACAGGTAGCAGGTGTGTGCTACCCTGCCTGTCCTAGATGACCTTTCTTAATCTTAAATGATAAGCTCATACATTTTATGAACCAGAACTTCTGAATTTTGAAATTTTTATTTTAAGTTGATTAAATGAAAAAAAATGACCTTTTGTTCAATGTTTGTCTGAAGTGCTGGAGATTGATTCCAGGGTTTTGGTGTTTTTTTTGTTTTTGTTTTTTTCTTTTGTTTTTTTTTCCTTTTTTCAGGACAGGGTTTCTCTGTAGCTTTGGAGGTTGTCCTGGAACTCAAGCTGTAGACCAGGCTACAGAAATCCATTTGGGCTTAAGGGCGTCTGCCACCACCACCCGGCAGATGATCTATGTGTTGTAACATGGTAGAAAGTTCATACCAGAGACCTAATAAGTCAGGGCAGGTCTTTGAATAAAATACTGGGAAGGAAAGATCTTTGAAGTGTTTGAAGCACTAGTTAAAATGTTAGCTGCCATGTGGGTGCTGGGAATTGAACCTCTCAACCTTCAATCCAGCAGTCAGTGTTTTAATCGCTGAGCCATCACTCCAGCCCCCTTCACTAATTAAAATGTATTAGAATTTTTATATTGCATTGTTTTCAGTGTATATTGTAATTTTTTTGTTTAGGCTTAATTTTCTATTATTTTTAACCTTTCTTTATAGGTAAAGGCACTGAAAGAGAAGATTGAATCTGAAAAGGGGAAAGACGCCTTTCCAGTAGCGGGTCAGAAGTTAATCTATGCAGGTATGAATGCAATTCTGAAATTAATTGCCATGTCTTGTATATTTGACATTGTTTTTTTTGTTTTAGAAATGTTGTCTTAGAAATGACAGTATTTGCAAATTGACTTTTTCAGAAACATGGTTTCATAGATAACAGTAGTGGAAGCAGTTTTTAAAATTATGATTTGATGTCCAGTCTTCTCTTGGCACATTTGCCATCTGTGTCCATGGAGTGATGTTACTTAGTCTGTGAGCACTGTGGCTGACTTCTGTGTCATTCTGAACAGCGTTGCTTTCACTCTATTAAGAACTTGTGTACTAGTTGACTAATGTGCATGAAATTGTTTCTGTCAAAGAATTTATGTCTTTTTTTTTAACTAACAAAGTTGAAGAATGAAGACTTGTTTTGTTTCATGCATCAAAAGACCTTCATGATAGGATCAGATGATAGGATCCCCCCCCCAAAGAATTAAGTACAAATTATATAGAATACTTAGAATTTGATAAGAAAAAGAGGCCCTAATAAGAAAGCACCCAAGAGTATGACTAGGAAGTTGCAAATTTAGCCTTACTGATATCCAGGAAAATGTTAAAAATAGACTGGATGGCAGAATTTAGTAGAGAAAATTCATTTGTTCCCTTGAAGAAACTACTAAACACTGTCATTGTAGGTATCAGTGGAACATGATTTTAGCCTGTTCTTTTCCTTTTGTGCAACTTTTGTAGTATTTTTTTGTTTTTGTTTTTCCTTCTGTTTTTGTATTTTTGAAACAGGGTCTTACTCACTCTGTAGCCCTTGCTGTCCTGGAACTCACTATATGGACCAGACTGGCCTAAAACTAAAGGAGTTTGCCTGCTTCTGCCTCATGAATGCTGGGGTTAAAGGAGTGCACCACTATGCTGAACATACTGTTTCCTTTTAGGAGAGAGACAGGTGAAAGTGAGTGGTAGCTCATTGATCTAACCCCGTTGTTGTAGGTCAGAATTCAGAAGCCAGAAAAAAGAGGGATAAGCTGTAAAATTTGGTGCAAAGCCTCTTGTCTTATTCCCGATATTTTTTGTGCAGTCCTATTTTAGGCAATGGCTTTTTTAGAATGGAGAACTAAATTTAAGGGAAAGGAGCCATCCAGGAGCACTGAGCTGAGGGTGGCCTTGGTATTTGGCACTATGCTGAGTTCCATGATTCCTCCCCTTGTGTATTCTGCTGTTTTTCTGAAAGGTTTTGCTCACTTGACTTACACATTTCTGACTGTTTGCTATGTCAGATAGGGAGTTGCTCATCCTTTCTTTCCATCAGGAAAAAAAAATACACCTTATTTTCTAGAAGATGACCAGGCAAATGAAAATGTTTAATTTATGTTTTCAGGACTGACTTCAAATAGACACAGTTAATTAATAACTTACAAACCAAATCATTTGGCATTTTATATACTGAAATAGTGTCAGATATCTTTTCATCAGATGTTTATGCTTTTAAAGTAGTAGATGTACATTATATTTATATTAGCTGGTGGCTAAAGTTTTTCTTAGAAGTTTGACTTCATATAGTTAAAGTTGCTGATAAATTAAGAGTAATTTCTTTGTAAGACAAAGCTTACTGTGTTTTTAAATAATATTTTCTCTCCCAAATTATTAGGCAAAATCCTCAGTGATGATACTGCTCTCAAAGAATACAAAATTGATGAGAAAAATTTTGTGGTGGTTATGGTGACAAAAGTAAGTTTTATCCTCCTGCTGTATTGTTACTCATGTGAATCTCAAAAGCAGTGGCCAAGTCCACAGTGGACAGTTGATGCATTTCCATAGATAGCATGGCATATGTAGATGATGCACTTAACTGCTTTCCAAAATGTAGGCACATTTATCATGGTCCCCGATAAAGGTAATAATTAGATATCTGTAGCTCTATAATATCTTTCATCCTGTAACCTTTAGTATGTAGCCTTTTAGGTACTAGATAAGTAGAGCTTGAGGGCTGGGGCAAAAGCTCAGCTAGTATAAAGTGCTTGCTTAATTTGCAAGCCTAAGTTTTATCTCTCCAGAGCCTTCATTAAAAGGATGTTATCACTTGCATTACTGCAAGCTCAACACTGGGAGGCAGAGACAAGCATAGCACTGGGGCTACTGGCCTTCTAGTCTAGCCTACCTGGTGAGCTTCAGGCCAGAGAGACACTTTGTTTGTTTGTTTGTTTGTTTGTTTGATGTAGATGGTCTTCACGAGATCACATTTGCTCTCTGGCCTGCACACATTTATGATCGGAGCTTGAATGTGGATTCATAAAGAGACTGCCTTGTATGCTTGCTATTTAAAGATACATGACCTGAGAAAGAACAGTGTATTATCAGTTACATTTTCATTGATGTAATAATATTCAAGGCAGAAGTGTAAAATAGAAAAAGGTTTATTAGCTCAGACAGAGTTTTGGAGGGTGGCAGTTCAAACATCATGCTGAAGACCACACAAGGACCTCTTGTAGCTGTGTTGTCATGTGGGAATATGTTTATATTTCTAACTGTGGTCTTCTTTTGTTCTTATAAAACCACTAGAACTATTCACGGAGGCTCTGCTGTGATCTAATCTAAAGCCCTACCTTCAAATCTACAGTCAGACTTAATTTCTACGCTTTTCATACTGGTTTATCATAAGACTTTTAGGGTTTCTGCCAGGTGTGGTGGTACACACATTTCATCCCAGCACTTTGAAGACAGGCAGGCAGACTTTTGGGTTCTAGGCCAGCCTGATTGACTTAGTGAGTTCCAAGTCAGCCAGAGCTAAATAGTAAGACCATCTCAAAACAGTAGGACTTTAGGGTTTAAATTGCCTGAGTTCAGGAGGAAGCAAACCTTAAGTGGATGGTTGGAGTTTGTTCATCAAAAACTAGTGGTAGAATAAATGAGCTTTCCCCAAAGTCACATAATAATAGCAGTAGGAAATAGTGGAATGGTTGATTAAAATCTAGTACATATAAGGTAGAATGTTGTTCATCTCTAAAGAAAAATGAAATCACAAATTTCAGGAAAATAGACTTAAAGTGAGTTGAGTGAGGTCACTTAGTCTCAAAAGGGGAAAACTGCATGTTTTCCCTCATTGCTGATAGTCTATTATGTATACATGTGTATCTGTAAACATACATATAAACATAGTTAACATGTAGAAAGAACAGTGTATATGTCGTAAGTGCTTTGCTCTCAAAGTATAACATTTTCTGTACAACATAGGTCCTTAAATGAGCAGTGTCCATATGTGATTCTGTGAGGGGCTTTATTGGGAGATGGGAATTTTCCTTTTATTGTTTGAAAATCCCTTAGGCTATAGTTCTTTACAAGCACTGCTGTACTTGATGTGCTTTATTCTTTAAACCTGAGTTTTTGCTATTGAAATAATAGTGTGTTAAAAGTATGTTTAAGATCATCATACATTTGAAATTTCTTAGAATTCCTGGGAATACTGATTTATCCCTGAAACTCAAGAGTAACATGTCAGGAATTTGAAAACACCTGAGAAAACATTTTTTTTTTTAAGTTACTACTCTAAAATGTACCATTGTTACTGAATAAATACACTTAAATTTTTTTTTTAAAGAAAATAGTTGAAATTCCAACTACTGCATATTTTTGTACTCTGAAACAAAAGGCAACCAAAGCAGACTTACATGGTAGGTTTTTTGTTTTAAGAAAGGTCTCTATTAAGTAGCTCTGGCTGTTCTAGAACTTGCTACATATCTGAAAGTGCTGGAGATCCACCTGCCTCTTGGGTTTCAAAACCCAATAAGTTTGAAAATTTTTAAACTAGTAAAGAATTCAATGGTTTTGCAATATTTAATTGCTTGCTCAAAATGTCAGACTTGGTCAAGAACAGTGATGCAAGAAAAACGCTTTATCCCCCAAACTGTAAACAAAACAAAACAAAAAAAACCCATCAAATTTACTATCTCCCCCACTCTCACCCCTGAATAGGGTTTCTCTGTATGTATTCTGGCAGTCCTGAAATTTGCTCTGTAGACCAGGCTGTCCTCAAACTAAGATCTACCTGCCTATGCCTCCTGAGTGCAAGTATGAAATGTAAAGAAGAAAGAGAAAAAAACAAAAAAACAAATACCATTGCTATCACTCTAAAACTTTCATTTTCCTAGATTGAAGCTGCACTCTTAAAAGCCTAACTTTTCAATAGCTGGAGTTCTGCAGTGTTCTTATTTGACTATTTTTGCTTCACTTAGCACAGCATCACAAGGTTCATCTGTGTTTTGGCATGTGCCACAGTTTCCTTCCCTTTTCACTTAGCTTTATTCATCGTGCACAAGGGAAAATAATAGGGTCGGCACACATCAAGGTAGTTCTGCTGTATTTCCTTCAGTATTCTCATCAGTATAGTGAAGAGTTAAACAGAAAAGATCTTGGAATGGATACACACGTACACACACACACACACAAACACACACACACACACA